AGAGAGGGGCTACGCAATTTACACGCAGCTAAAAATTGGGCTCAGCGGTATTATTTATTGACATATGTATGTATTTTCCATGAAAATAAAGCACTAATGTACTGAAGTTCTTAAGAAACTGCTACTCAGCACTGTTCCTTATGGTGTTACCTTAGCATTACTAAAAAGTTAGTTTGTAATGGAGTATTCATTCTCGAATGCTACCGCAATTCATACTATATATTCTTTCATGACACATAATTAATTATATACATACAAAGTTGTTTCACATAACTTTCCAGAGACGTACACAAAACTAAAACGTTAGTCGAAATAATTAGCACTATTCAGTTGGGAAATGCCTGCGAAAATTGTACACACGCCTCTGCTGACGCTTCCTGTAATACCCATATACTTTTTTCACTCTCCTGCTGTTTAGTCATGCACATACTCTCATATAATCTGAAACGCTAGCGAACGCATGCAGAAATGAATATTTTTGCTACGCTTGCACGTTTTACGTACTCATACGAGCACTTTTAGAACTGCGTGCCCGTTTATTAGCTCAGACATGGGGGCCACACACAGCTGGAAGTGGGTTGGATTCGTATATAGGCTAGCAAACTAATACACACTAGTGTAGCACGTGTAGATAATATAAGAATGTGGAAACATAGGTATATATATGTATATATACATACATAAGTATGTGCATGAGTTTGTTAGAGTTTGTTAGTGATATTGCTGCACTAAATATCTCCCATTTTTATAGCGAAACCACGTGCACAAATTAACGTTTCCGGTAATTTTGGCTGTAAACGAAAATGAAGCGAACTATTTTCAAAGGTACATACATACACACATATGCAAGGCGCAGACTTTATAGTCGTACATATGCACACACAATAGCACAACTATACTACTTTACTTATGTATAAACCAACGTTATTTGCTTCTTACTTAGTTGGCAACGGAAAGACTAAACGAATGTTGTTTATTTTCAGTACATCTAAATATGTATACATCAAAATATATGTACGTGTATAACGAATGTGCATATGCTTCCTATACAAATAAGTATGAATATTAATTATGTTGTCATTTTAGTTTTAACGGCCTAGCATGGCTAAAGTTAACTTCTGGTCTAGCACACCGATAATTTCATAAAATTTTTTTCAAGTAACACGTGGCTCAAAATAAATTACCTAATTTTCTTTAGCTTTATCTTTTGAACAAACTGCAAGAAAATTGCATGTTTTTTTTTTGTACTTTAAGATTTTTTTATATGATACTGTTGTGGGAATGAATTCGGTTTCAGCAATTTAAATGGAAAATTATTTTTTGTTTTCTGTCAATTTCCATATAAAATTCAAAAAAAAAAGAAATTAAATAATTTTTGACTTAAATTGCTTTGCTGAAACTGGCTGTAATACTTTATGCTTAAAAATTGTTTGAAAATTTCTTTATTATAATACTTCTACAAATTTTTTTATTGATCAGTTACTCACACGATGCGTTTGAGTAACATCGCGTATGAGTAACTTTGCTGCGTACGAGCAACATTGCGTGTGAACTACATTTTTTTATAGGGTGTTTACAAGAGGAGATTTTACGGGCAACTTTTATTTGAAAGCAACAATCACCTGGTGTGAACATCATTTCAACTTATCGTTTCCAATGAAGTTGGGGGCAGCCAGTTTATGATTCAAGAAATCGCGTGAAAAATTGTCGCAACTAAATTCCGTTTTACTTTCACTTCGCAAGGCATATCGAACACTGCCAGCGAAATACGTTTCGTTCGGAATCATATAGCGCGAAATCTTTTGTATGTGTTAATATTTGTACGAGTAAAGACCCGGCAAACAATTTTGTGAATAATGTTAAAGAGAGCGCTAATAAGAGTGTAGGAAACAGTCCATCTTAGTACAAAGCGTAGTAATTGACATAGAAATGTTTGCGTCTATCCCTAGCTACTAAAGTAACGTATGAGAAATTTGTTTCAAAATTTTCTTTTTAAAACTGAAAAATTAACAAAGCATCTAGATGCATTTCTGCATCAAAAGGAAAATTTTGAAGATAAATCCTTTTATATTTTTTTCGCTGTAAGGATAAGTTTGTGATATTTAAAATTTATTTGCCATTTAAGGATATGTTTTGAGAAGGAAATTTGTGTTCAAAGGGTAGATATTAATAAAAAAGTAGGTCGTTGCGTATGAGCAACATTTGATATAGCGCGAGAATACAGAAGGTGGCGCCGACGGCAGCACCGCTAATCAGCTCTCAGTGAATTTGACAGAATCAGCTGTTTTGCTGACGTCACAGTCGAGATGACAGCAGTAGAGATGTGCTGAGTCAATACTTTAAGTATTGATCGATATTCGGTACCGATTAAAAATGTGTCCAATACTCTCGATACTCGGTACCTAAACATTTAGGTTTCGAATAAAAACGCACACAAACCAAAGATATGAAAAAAACGGCTCAGGGGAAACTCACCTATCAAAACCCGAATGTAGGAGCTAATAGAGCTTTTAATACTGACTCAAATGAAAGATGTATATATGTCGGTTCGAGGCTATAATGCAGAGAAACTCCTACTTGTTTGAAGCATTTTTGTTCCAGCGGAATCGGACGATATCATTTTTGGAGGTCGGGGGGGCAGATTCTATAACCAGTTAGCGAATCAGTATCAGTTGTAGATCTCCCCCCTGAAAGGCTTCTTCATTCATTGTTTGCTTAATATTTTAAATTTGTTCTTTGGTCTGACACTCATGTTATTATACATATTTCAGTTACCCAAAGCCATTAATCAAATTGAATTAAATTGTCTAAAGAGGTGGCAACCGTTATACCTTATACTTACTTTATATATATACTTTACTTCAATGCCATATCGTTTGATACCCACATTTAACTTACTAAATAATTTGAGTTCAACTTTTTAGCAGCTGGCAACCCTTTTCTAAATATAAAACTTTACTGCACATCTACAGACTAAACCCTGTAAACTGATTCCTCACTTTTAAAAATTGAATGAACGGTTGCCACCTCTTTAGACAATTTAATTCAATTTGATTAATGGCTTTTGGGAACTGAAATATATTAAAAACATGAGCGTCAGACCAAAGAAGAAATTAAAAAAATTAAGCAAAAAATAAGTGAAGAATAAACAAATTCCTGCAACCTTAAAGTTAATTTAAGGGTCCATTAATATGAAAGGAGCAAGAAAACTTATCACTCATTGGCAATGTATGTATTTACATACTGTAATAAAATAAAAAATTCCGTATCGTAACCTATTCGTTTCATAAAAATATGTTAATTTTTCATAAATAAAAATATTGTATAATTTAATTAAATTCACTCCCATTTATATGCTGGTATATATTTCAGTCACCTAGTTCCCTAAATTTAAATGGAATTTCATTTTTTAAACAGGTGGCAATCCTTCTATATGAAATCAAGAAATCAACCCTTTCAAAACCCCTTTCTATTGATATCCATCTTCTATTAATTCACTTAATATATTAAATAATTTGAATAAAATTTTTCAACAGGTGGCAACTCTTTTCAAATGTTAGACCTTTATTACACATCTAAAAGACAATGCCTCTAATGCGCCTTTGAAAATCAAACGAATGGTGCAGATCTGATGACATTAACAAAAAATTAAAAAATGATTTTATGCATCTGCTAAACCCACATTATTTCGCAAAGGGCAAAAGAGTGGCACATTTTATTTTATTTTTCAACAGAAAAAATACCATACTTTTTTATGGCATAAAAACCCCATGGTTTGACATGAGTTTTAGATTTACTCCTTTAAACTTTAGTTATATTTTTATTTTCAACAAAATAAATTCGTATTTAAAATACAACCAGTGTAAACTACACAATTCACTACACTGTGCCATGTCTGCAAATTAAAAAAATGCTACAATATATACTTTTTATTATGCAAATTTAAGAAATGAGATTGAAAGTAGTTCAGAGTAATGTTTATTGGAAATTTTGTCCTCCCCTTGGCCAGTTGTAAAGTAAAAGTATAATATTCGCTACACTTAACCCGTTTTTATTTTCTTTCATTTATTCACCCTACACTCACCATTTGTACTTATGTCTTGTCAACCTTTATTCATCTTGGTAGTTTTTATATTTTCCATTTCGTTTCCTTTTATTGCACCAAATGCTTCATGGGTTCTTTTTTTGTTGGCACAAACTCGTTACAAAAGTGATTCTGAAATCAAGAATAAATGCCAAGAATAAGAATGCCGGTTGTGAAAGCGCTGAATAAAAAAGGACTAATAAAAATTATTGGCTGCCATTTTAGGACCATTTACATTAATTCAATAAAATATTTCAACTTTTATATGTACGGCAGTAAATGCATACCGATGGTCAAATATTGGCAACTCATAACTGACCATATTCCGAAATTAGAGTTATATACATAACAAAATTACTAATAAAATTTTAAATATTTTGATATATGTATATAAATAAGTTTCGAAAAAATATTAGTTATGAGTTATCAATGTTTCAATAGTATATTTATACTATACACATAAATATGTAGATATGTATGTTGCTCAAATAAGTAAATATACGGCTAGACATGGCAATGTGTTAGCGTTTACATACGACACAGCTGTAGAAACTATTTACACCCTCAAATGTACGCAATCACTTATTTCGTTTCCTTCTTGCCTTTTTTCATTTTTTTAGTCTCAATTTAAAGCTGAAGATTATATTATGCAAATTGCTGTGTATTTGTATAAAATTTATTCTAAAACTTTCTCTTTTTGCTTTTTGTGGGTTACTGCTATATCTACATAATATGTACACATATACATACATATATGTTATGTGTTTAATGGTGGTGCACCATTACATACAAATGTATGGTTCTTTTTGAAGTTTTAAAGTTGAAATAATAATATTTGTAAGCTATTTCAAGTTACATTTTAAGAGTTCTGTTTTTTCTTGTATTTAAATGTTAAAATTTCTTTTTCTTATTTCAGAACAATTTCACATCTTCGTCGGCGACTTAAGCTCAGAAATCGAAACCCAACAATTGCGTGAAGCTTTTACACCATTTGGTGAAATTTCGTAAGTATTGAAATATTTTATTTTTAAACAGAGCTAAAAACACTAGCTACACATATTTGCTATCATAAAAAAAATCATTTAAGTATGGGACTGGTCAGATATTTAAGGGAGCCTTCCACCTATTCTATCAATAGGAATTTATAATTTGCCTGTTCCACGGCTTCAGGGAGGCCTGTCCAAGGCTATGACAAACTAAAAAAAGTGCGTTTTGGCTATGAAATTTAATTTATTGTAACATTGGAAGCGTGCTACTAAAAATCTTATTAATATTTTTGAAAACAAGTTAAACTTTATGAAGTTTTGGACTGTCGTTTACATAAATTTAGAAATCAAAAAGGTTTCAAACTTATTTTTAGAATTTAATTTAAAAATTAGCCATTTTATAAAATTCCAATGAAACGCAAGTTGTGGTAATTTACGGTACAAAAAATACTTGAAAGCCAAGTAAAATCGATAATAAAAGCACATAGTATGGAGTGGTTTTTGAATAGCTTGTGGGCTGTTGTTGCAGTAATAAAAATTTGTATAACAATATCGATAAAAATATGTATAAAAAACCCGATAAAAATATCGATACGTGCCGAAAATCCTGAAAATCTCTAAAATCCCAAAATAGTTCCCGGATTGAGTCTCTGTGTCTCTCTCTATATCCTTTCCTCTTCCATTACCTTTATTTTAATCTTTCTTTCCCTATCTTCATCTTTACTTTTTATATTTATCATTTTCTTCATCTACATATTCCCCTTCACCTTTGCCCTTATATATATAGGTAAAGTGTTTAAATTTACCTTGGTCTCCATTTTTGCCTTTATCTTTACGCATATTTGTTTTTGGTTTTATTTTTACTTTTGCCTTTAGCCTTTTCTTTATCTATGTACGTACTCACTTTTGCTTTCATTCTTGTATTGGTCTTTTTCTAAATGTTATGCTTTAACCTTTTGTTAACAAATTTTTGTTAAACTAGTACCATATGCTTACACACAAGAAGCACTTGTTTGAGCCCCAACCATTTCCGTTGCACCATTTCCGTGTGCAATTTCAGTACAAAAATCTGTAGTTCACTGCTGATTCTGAGTTAACTACGCACTGTGAATTTGGCCCTAAAACTAATTTAGATTTTTGTTCACTTAAGCAATCTGTTTTTCTTATAAACTTTATTTGTATTTTCTTACCGTAGGTTCATATGAAAACATAGCACTTACTAGACAAAATAGAAAAAAAAAAAATCAGGATAATCGAGTATTTTAATAAACAAACAAAAATTACGCTATCTTTGACACCTTTGATGGATAAAACTGTGTTTCCTTTGTCTTCTTACGATAAAAAAATTAAAAACCGAAATATTTTCTACCGATTTCTGAAAAAACAAATTTGCTCAAATTGGCGACATTTAACGCAACTTCACATTGTGATGGTCGTCCGCTGTGGTGTCGTGGTAAGCAGTGCGCGCTTCCACTCCACAGCACCTGGGTTCAAGCCCTGGTCAAAGCAACATCACATCGCAAAAAAAAAAATATAGAAAAAACGTTTTTTCTTAACAGCGGTTGTCCCTCGGCAGGCAATGGCAAACCTCCGAGTGTTTTCCTGCCATGAAAAACAGCTTCTCATAAAAATACAATCGCCGTTCGGAGTCGGCGTAAAACTGTAGGTCCCTCCGATTTGTGTGACAACATCAAGGCGCACGCCACAAATCTTAGGAGAATCTCGGCCAAACACTAGCATATATGTAAGCGCCATTCTATTATCATTATTCACATTGTGATGATGGAACTCGTGGTAAAATTTCGTAATAATAGGGTCATGTTTCCGATTTTAACGGCCTTTTTAAGGCGTTTTTGAGGTTATGTTTGTAAGGGTGGATGCTTTGAAATATACCGATTACGCCCAATTTTTTAGCGTTCATATATAATGTTACACATACGGTGACATTAGTCTGAAACAGCATCCCTACAAGAACAGTGACTATCATTTGACAAATCATTTGAGTGGCAAGACTGATAGAGATTTCTGTCACTGGCTGCCTACAAGTTTCTATCAAATTCTAAAGGGCAGTGTGAAAAATCTGATGTAAACATTTGTGTTCCGTCTTCCTCCGACTTATGGCATTATTTAGTTGTCTCTTTTTAACCAACGCAAAGTTTGCAAATGTGTTAGTAAGGTAAATGAGAATGTGTTAGTTTCCATCACACAATTCTTGTAGGGATCCTTATTATTGCACTCATACATTAATATTCAGTAGTAAAATAATAAATTGCAGGATATTTTTCGATAGCTTCGTACTTTGCGCAAAGCAAAGCAAAAGTGAGTACGTACATAGAAAAAGAAAATACAGTACATTAAAAGAAATACCGAACATTTGGAGTCCCGTATAAAATAAATGTTACATACGAAAAATTGAGATTCTACGCCGATTCGTTATAATTTCTTCCAAAAAATGTTTGCAGCTGACCACTGTGCAGCATTTTGCAGTCGCCAAAATGCTAATTTCGTCAACAAACCCAAGTCGTACTTTAAAATACCTGGTACGCTAAATATTACATATATGGGAAATTCCTGAAAGCCTCTTCTGAATTGTTTATTTTGTTCCCTCCTTCATTCATACAAATCTTTACTGTCCTTAACAGTCAACAAATATGTACATACATTTATGCGCCTCACCAAAATACCAGGTAATCCAAATTCATAAATTGAGTAAGTATTAAGTTCACCACCCACCAACTATTACCTCTCTATTTATGTACATAAGTATGTATGAATGCAGATATATTTTCATAACACCTACAATAAATATAAATATTTATCCACGAAGTCCGGCTTTTTCCACTACTCTGGCCTGGAAATCGCTTGACTTACGCTTATTTGTCGAATATTTAACGCGGATTTGCCTGTCAACAGCACACAGACAGCGAACTTCTTTAGCAACAACAACGACAATAGCTAAAAAAGCAAACAAAGTGGTTAACATAGGCGACACCTTGCGCTTTGCCTGGAAGAATAGTAAGTAGTGTGGCTGACAGCCGGCAGAAGGCAAATGAAACAAACACACTCACATGGTATGTATGTATGTATGCCCATATAGGAATGGCAACTACATAAGTGAACGCCTAAAAATCCGCTACCACTTCGGAGCTTAACTGGTATGCTTAGTTGTTGACTTGGTGGGCTAACAGTAAAACGAGAAAGTGACACCATGTGAAGTGTTTGCCTAAAGGATGGATGGAAATTGAAGCAACCTAAGTAGACTTATACATGTGTATGTATTTGCTGAGAGTTTAGAAAGATTTAAAAGGTTGTGTTGAAGTAAGAAATATTACAAAAAAATAAAAATTTATACATTCATAACTGCAAGCTAAATGCAGGAGTCGGGAGTAGTATTAATTTAGGAGAGATTGTTGCTTTCTAATGTTTATCATCATTTATTTAACTTAATTTTGAATGTAAATATTTACAATATAATATACTGTTACTGGCGAATTTATATTTTCGCCGCGGTCCTTCTGAATGTCAAAATCATGTGTTTGTTGTAAAAAAGGCGAATTCATATTAAAACAAACACATCATTTTGACATTCAGAAGGACCACGGCGAAAATCTAAATTCGCCAACAACACCATCTTGTATAAATTTGCCTTGGCTTATTCTAACATAATGAAATTTTACACAAAGTTTGAAATTTAAATTTTTATGAGTTTCGGTATAGATTGTCCCATCTAAATACATACTTATATACATAAAATGGTAGCTGCTTTTGTTGTTCGGACTAAACTCAAAAACCACTGGATAGAGTTCAGTCAAATTGTCGGAGGTTATACCTGGTTGAAATTCATAATGCGTCTTCAGTTCATGATAAGCAATGGTTTTGCAGAAAAGGGACCCAAGAATGGCGCTGCAGCCGTAATATATAAAAAACGCCAAGTGTTTAGTCTGCTTTGGAACTATGTTTATTTTATACGAATTTACTTCTCAAATGGCTAAATGATATTGTGTAAGCGCACCTTTGTCTGACGCCCTCATACATTCTTAATGTGATCTTGCATTTTATGATGAACGAAATTGCTTGGGGTGGCCGTTATTTCAGCAGTAAGACTCAAAGAAACCAGACAAGGAAAGATTCGATCACATCCGTCCAAAAAGGAATACGGTTGGTATATCAATAACTTCATTTGAGCGATATTCAAGATATTACACAATTGATTTAGCCAATGTACGGGAAAACTTTTCATCCTGTGAGGCAGCGAGGATTCTTGGCCCTGCTATAACAGAAAACGCTTATCGCTGCTCTTAGGTATTCTTATAAGGATTTTTATTGGCTTAATCATAGGACCAATGTTGTAGTAGCAAGATAAAAAAGATTATGCAAGTTTGGCAGAGATCTTACAGGTGGAAATAAGACCATCGGCAAAGCTCATGACATCGAATGGGATTAGTATTTCATATGGCATCAAAGCGCTACCATTTTTGACCTATGTAAGAGGAGGAGTCTGCCCTTTAGTGGATTCCATTTTTTTACTCTACATACCATTTTTTCTTTTAAACGCTACTTTTGCATTGGCCCACTCAAAAGGTCTTATTAGGCGCCGCGAAGCAAAATGATCAGACTTCTTCAGTGGGATTCGATCCAAGAACCCCAGCTGACTCAGCAAGTTACCTATGCACTATGCTAAGCTCCCTTATAAACAGTTGTTGCCTTTTCCACTTTTTCATGTGATCCAACTACAATCAAGCGCAGTTATTTCGCTATTGAGTTAGAAGGGGTGAAAATTAAAAAAAAAAATGCACTTCAAGTCAGCATCAAAAAGTCTATAAGGTGAGGTCGGCCCTGTGAAATACGACAAAATTTTGTTGAACCGTATAATTCATTTTTATATAGCGAGGTTTTAGTATACTAAGAATATCCTTCATGCCAAAGAATAGTTGTTGAATGCTGTTCAATGCTGTTGTTAAGAAAAAAAAAGAGCGTTAAAATTAAAAAGTACAATATAGCTAAAAGAAAGTAAAAATGTATTTAATAATCAACGCAAAAGAAATTAAAACAGAATTATTTATCTCACTTCGGTTTATCTCCGTCATCTTCTCCGTTCCACCGGAAATATTTGAATATACATATATATATTCCCTGACAACTTTATTTGACGAGTTTTATGCGTCATGCCCTTCAGCTTTGTATCAGTCTCCTTACAGCTAATGGGATTGAAAAAATACCCGTATCTGATGCATTTGGGTGAGATATTTTGTTGTGTTATCAAAAAACTTCCTTGTGAGGAGATACTGAAGGCCACAAAGTAAGCACCAAATGCTTTCAACTCCCGCCTTTCGCACTGCGCGTATACACGTACATAAGTATGCTACAGCCGGTAAGCACTCCAGGGCCACATTCACTCTCGTTACACCTACATATATATACTACTATTTTAAAAATTCTAGCACAAAAATATTATAAATTAACTTTTATTAAAATTTGCATAAATGTTAAAATCCTCTTTGGCGACGGAGATGGGGTTAGCAACTCGGCTATTGCTCATTGTATCGCTTTGCTTCTGCGTTCATTACAAATGAATGTTTGTTATTTTGTAAAACTTATTTTTCCGTTTTTCTCGCTAAGTAGCAAGCGAATGTTCATACTCATACCTAAGTGAATACTCGCGTGCACGTACACACACAGAGATACATAAATTTATATTTGTGTAAACAAAAAACAGAGAAAATATTTTCTGACACACTCACGGGTGCAGTAGGTAAACGGGATGTGGTCTACACTTAATGGCTGGCTTGCTTCATTTTTGACGCTTTAATATTTTACTTTATTAAAAAGTTTTGTCCGCTAAACTCCCAGCAGGATTAACACAACGCTAATTCAACGAATTGGTACCAGTTTTAGTTGGTATACGCTTAGGTATGTACCCACATATATACCCACATCTGTATATACGAGTGTGTACATACATACGTTTCGATGTACATAGTTGTATAAATAAGTTCGCCGAAATGTCTCCCTGTTAAGTACTAATTTATTTTAATTAAAAATCCACCCTCTCACACAATCATTTCTTTTCAGTTGTCATGTCAACCACAAAAGTTCTCAACGTAATATTTATATTCTCCTCTTCTTTTTGTTTCTCTCCTTACAGTGATTGCCGCGTTGTACGCGATCCACAAACATTGAAATCCAAGGGTTATGGATTTGTGTCATTTGTCAAAAAATCGGTAAGTACTTTCGTGTTGTATTTGCTTAAAATTTTTTTGTTGACTTCATTTCATTAGATATTAATTTAAGAGAAAACTTTTGTCCCCTCTTTCATCTTAATTAAAAAGCATGTCCCACAAATCCTCATTCCCGAATGTTTACTCTTTTATCATAGTTTTCCTAGCATCCAGAAATTTTATAATTAATTCAATTGGGACGCAAATTTTATTTACTCTTCTCTCATTTTCGTTACTCAATAGGAAGCCGAAAGCGCCATTGCAGCTATGAATGGACAATGGCTTGGCTCGCGTTCGATTCGAACGAATTGGGCCACACGAAAACCGCCGGCGAGTAAAGGTGAGTGTGAATGTATGTACATACTCGTACATAAATGTGAGAGGGCAAACAAATTTTTTCTCCTTTAAAAGGCTTTGCGAGTATAAAAACATAGTCATACGTATATTTCAAATATTTAAAATATATGTATGTATGTATGATGAATATCTTCGTTTGTATATAAAATACATACAAGTACTTTTTCATGCCTTGACTTTAATTGCTGCCTAGAATAACTCTGTCAATCTTTTGAACTCGGTTATTCGGTTTTGGTTGCGCAGTTAAGAATTCATTCTTAAGTATTCATTGGAAATTTACTATTTATCACCGCATGTCTGCGGTTAAAATGTTTGTTTTCAGGTAAGGATGAAATGAATTTCAACGGAAGTGTAATTTTAACAGCATACTTAGACAGCCAGTAGTGAATGTCAATTATTTATAAGAAGTTAAATTTGGATTTGCTAGGAAAATAGCAAAATAGATACTGAGAGGAAGCGAAAAGATAAGCGTGTCAAAGAAATATTCACACATTCGTTGAAATATTGATTCATACCATTAACTTATATTTGAGGAACTGACATTACATACACCACTACAACACCGTCCGCCACCATATTCACGTATGTGGTTATATAGCATATAAGGGTTAACAGGTGTGTATAACACAATCTATATACCATAAAAATTAGTTGAACAATTGGCGAATAATATATGAATGATGACTCAATCAATGCCTCTTTTTAAAATATTCCTCCATTTGCATATCAGCTTAGATTGAAGATTTAGTTGGTTCCAACTTCGAAAGGAAAGGTTCACCCTAAGGTGAAAAATATTCATATAAACATACATATTCACCCTTGTTTGTGTTTGCAGTTGTTAAATTACATTTACATATAAATATGTACATATGTATGTAAATTGTGAGCATACACTTACGAGCCTTTCCAACAACTCAACATAAACAGAGAAAACAAAATTAGGTTAAAACATGCAAATATGCATATTAGTTTTCATTAACAACATAATTTAGATTCACGCTTTTCCTACGCTTAGCACCCAGATTATTTATTTGTCATTGGCCTGATTTCAGTACACATATGTATAAATCCACATCAGTGATGGAAATGTAGGTACAATTGTACTCTTTTCAGCCCATTTTTAGTTTGAAAGTACATCGGTATATATTATCACCTGAAATGCAAAAAGACGTAACAAACATCATCGCTGAAATGCAAAAAAGTAATAACTAAAAAAAAAAATCTAAACTCACTTTTGGATTTATATGATGGATTTCATTGAATTACAACTCCCCACATAATTTTATGAAAAAAAACTTTAAAATATCAGTCACTACTTTTTCCATTTCAGGTGACGATATACATGCACAATTTATCAAAAAAAAAATTCCAGGATTTTTTTCCTTCGTGCATTTATACCAACCAAGTGCAAATGCATCCATCTGGCCTGGCTAGTATAATACCAAGGGCCACGAACTTTGCGTCCATTTGTTCTATCAATTGCACTCGAACTAGTGATTCCTCCAATGCAAATCAAACCACAAATAAAATTGATTCATCAAATATTTTTTTTTATTTGGTCGATGAATCGAATCACACTTACAAATACATTTTTGAATTAAAAGTGGATTTAAAATCAGAAAGGTGCTTAAATCATGCGACCCTGGTTTTTCGCTAGGCGGTAATTTGACTTTCCCTCGTTATCCTCGTTGCACTAATTTGTTTAGCTCGTGTATTAAGGTTTGAGTAAAGGCTGGAATGGTTTAAAGTTTTTGTTGCAGCTAAAGCAGATAATACACGATTCCTTGTTTGGCTTCGAAAGCTCCTTCCAGTTTGTGCAGAGCTTAACCTATTAGTATTTTCGTACTGTTAAACAGATTTGCCAAGATGTGGAAACAAAATTTGCATACTAGTTTCTTAGTTACATTCCTCCTCTTTTAGGTATCAGTTTTCCCTAAAACTAACTACAATTTGAAAATATCATTGTCCATTACCGATGAGCGTACATTAGGGTGGTTCAAAAACGCATGTCAAAAGTACTCCGAATTTTATTGCTCTCACCCCCTAGCATTGTTCTATATAGAAAAAATATATCTACCCCTGTTTTTTTTTATTTCGAAACCGAATAATATTTAATGGCCGCTCAAATTGCCTTAAGTTTTCCATGGGAAGAACACTTCTGGTATATAATTACTGAACATCAACATTTTTCTATGGAAAGACTATAGAGACTTCCAATAATAATACCGAGTTGTTTATTTTACCATTTCTTAAAACCAGCGATTTTTATAGGTTCCACCATTGCTTTTTTTGGGGGTTTCGGGGGACCTATAAAAAAATATATTAAAAAATGGTTAAGTAAAGAACAGGGGTATTATGTTTTTCTATATACAAGTAGAACCATTCTAGGGGGTTAGAGTATTCAAATTCGGACTTTACTTTTTTTCACATACAATTTTTAGACCACCCTAATGTACATGCATACACACATATGCTCTTCCAATGTGTCGTCTTCTGCTTACCGGCATCCAATATTCTCTCCCTCCTCTGAATACATATGTATGCTAGTAAAATTTATTGCGTGTGCTCTTTGCTTAACTGCTCATTATGCTTGATTACACTTTTTTATTTGGAAACTTTCATATTTTCTTCCCCATTTCACATGTAAATATTTCATATGAAATGGTTATTTCAACGCGTCTCAAGGCGGTGATTGTCAATTTGTCATTTGTTTGCGTGTCTTTTTCTCAGACTAAATCGCTTTATTGCTTTTTAGTTGGTACAAGGTGGCATATTAAGTCTACTGTCGATTGATTGGCCTAGCTAACATACATTCATATATACATATGTATGTACATATGTGTATGCAAGTAAATACTTATATTTATATTGGTATCGAAAAAAATTTGAGCATATTGAATTTTTGCGAAAAAGTGTAAATTTACAATGTCATCTTGAAGTTAAGGGTGCATTTTTGAAATATTTTTATATATACAACTTTAATTGCATTTTTGGTAGATAAGTTTAAAAGTTGCGATTTTGCCAGATAACCCGATTCCGGATATCCTGTAAAAAATAAGAGCCGGATTCGGATATTCGATCGGATATCCGCTAGACTGCTGCTCTTAATAAATTTCACAATACATATTTTTATATTCGGTTTTTTTGTTTAGCTAGATTATCAGCTTTTTCGAGCTGAACTATCCAATACGTAATTAGGAATACAAAATTTCTCCTTAGAAGTTCAAGTTACGATAAAATCCTGTATTAAAAAGATAACTTCTCCGTCTGCAACCCAGATT